TCTAGGAATTTTTTGAGATCTTCAAATGTGAATTTGTCGGGGGCTTTGAAGTCCACAAATCCGGACTTTTCAAAAAAAAAAAATTGGATTCTCCCTGAAGGCCAAAAAATGATGATTTTTTAAGATTTTTGAAGCGAAATTTTTTTTCCGATTTTTTTCATAATTTTAATTACATCTCTCTAGTCGCTCCCATGCAACCCACAGTAATTTAATTCAAGTTAGACTACCTCGCCTTACGAATAGTAATGTTCTGGCACTGTCATATGTATGATTGTCGGCTGTGTTGATTATCTGGCGATATTGGAGTTGGAGTGTCTATTAATGCATTTATGCATTTGTAGAACTTTTTCGCATAAGCTGTCGGGCAGGCAGGCAGGCCGGCGTAGCAGCAGCAGCAACAACAATAATGCAAGTGAAGAAAAACAAAACAAAATTATGAACAAAAACGTCAACAACAGGACATTCTGCAGGACATCATCAACATGGACAGACAAATACACACACACACACACAGACAGATGACACACACATGTATGCCCCTTACTAGACTACAAACACACACCCATACTTTCCAACACACACTAGAAGACATAATCAACAACAAGACCACTGGACATCCTACTTAAAATTTTTACGCTGCAATTCTGCGCCAAGGCTCTACTTGCCTTGCCCTGGTGTTCCAACATGCCGGCTTTGCCAGGAAATAAGCTTACACATTTGTTTTCAAACATACAACAGTTACTCAGCATACCCTCTCTCATCCTCTCTTCCCTTCCTCTCTCTTACACCCTCTCCCTCTCAGTGAAAACAAAAAAAAAAAACAACACATTTCTCTCTCAAGACCCAAGGCATTGAAAGACGTATGAGTCCTTTGCATATGTTGTTGTGTTTCCCCGTCCAACACAACACACCCCTAACCCTTTTCGATGACCATTCTTCTTGTTCTTCTTGACCGAGCTAAGGTCTACTACGTATTTTACACTTGTTCGTTTATGGGCAAGAATATGCATGTCGTAGCTACTCACACACACACACACACCCGTCTAGGTGGCTAAGGACATTTTCCCTGATAATATCAGTTAAAAGGGGCCACTGGCTGGTTTGCTTGGCCTGAAGGACATCGAATGCATGGACAACAAGTATGAGTCTGGGTTTGGTTGGCCAAATGCATTTTCTGCTCCAAACCGAGTAGCATACAGCTGACATGCAAAAACAACAGCAGCAACAACAAACAAACAAATTATGATTGCAGACATTTGGTTGTAGGATTTTTGCTAAGTCTGTCTTTTCGACAGGCTGGCAGGCAGACAAACATGCACACATGACTGGCTGGCTGACTGACTGGCCGGCAACTTTTGCTCGAAAATTTAAAGCTGTATTAAGAACTTTTACTTCTAAACAAAATTAAAGTAATTAAACTTCTGCAAAAAAAAAAGGGGGGGGGGGGGTTAAAATAAAATTAGAAAATTTAAATTAGAACAACAACAGCTGAGGATATGAAAAATAGGGAGCCTAGAAGTATGCAGCAGATATTGGAGATGTTTTGGGACAATAACGATTACTTGAGTATCTGGGAAAAAATATATTTTTTTTACGGGTTTATCCCAAGACTTTGTCCTAAATTGTTATTTTTGGCTGAGCCTGAAAGTATGCATCACTTAAGAAAAAAATTTTTTTTGATATTTCATCAAATTTTTAGATGCTTCTTTAAGGCTCACCAAAATGGATTTTTTTCTATGAATTTTTAGAGATCTTCAAATGTGGATTTTTGAAGTATGATTTTTTTAAAAAATGTTGGAGGTCTTCAAATGCAACTTTTTTAAGATTTTCAGAGACATTCTTAAGGCTTCCCAAAGAGGATTTTTTAGGAATTTTCAGGGACCCATTGACTTTACACATGTCGAGATTTTATTGATTCTTTAGAGGCTTTGAAGGCCTCTAAAATCCTTTAAAAATCCAAATTTGAAGATCTCTTAAAATTCATAAAAAAACCATTTTGGAGACCCTTGACCAAAATGGTTTTTTATGAATTTTAAGAGATCTTCAAATTTGGATTTTTAAAGGATTTTAGAGGCCTTCAAATGAGTATTTCTTTTTAAAATTTTGAAGATCTTGAAATGCGAATTTTTAAAGGATTTCTTGAAATGGAAGAGAAGAATTTTTGGAAAGCATTTTTTCGAATTTGTAGAGACATTCTAAAGGCTTCCCAAAGAGGGTTTTAAGGAAATTTCAGACACCCATTAAAGACTCTCAGACATGTGTTTCTGCAGAGAGAGTTCTTAGACTTTACACATGTCGATATTTTATGGAATTTTAAGAGGCCTCTTTAAGGGTCTCCAAATGGGTTTTTATGAATTTTTAAAAAACTTCTATTGTGGATTTTTAGAAGTCTTCAAATGAGGATTTCTTATAAAAACATGGGAGGTCTTCAAATGCGAACTTTTAATTTTTTTTCTTGAAGTAGACTTTTTCAAGAATTTTAAGAGACCATCAGGTGTGGGTTTTTTATCGAATTTTTATGGGTATTCTAAAGAATTTCCTAAAGAGGAGTTTTTGAGGTATCTTTAGGGACCCTCTGAAGAGTGTTCTTAGACTTTGCACTTGTCGATATTTTACGGAATTTTACGAGGCCTCTTTAAGGGTCTCTAAAATGGAGTTTCTCTTATGAATTTTTTGAGATCTTCAAATGTGGATTCTTGAGGGGTTTTTAGAGGTCTTCCTTCTTATAAAAATGTTGGAGGTCTTCAAATGAAATTTTTTTAAAGGATTTCTTGAAGTGGAATTTTTCAAGAATTTTTAGATTTTTTTCTATGAATTTTCAGAGACTTTCAAATTTGGATTTTTAGAGGTCATCAAACGAGGATTTCTTTTTAAAATTTTGGAGGCCTTCAAATGGGAATTTTTAAATGATTTTTTGAAGTGGACTTTTTCAAGAATTTTTAGAGACCATCAAGTGGATTTTTTAAGGGATTTTTTGAGACCCATTAAAGACCCTCAGACATGTATTTCTGAAATAGCCTTAGACTCTTCACATGACTAAATTTTATTGAATCTTTAGAGGTTCTTTAAGGGTTTTAAAAAAATAGATTTTTTCTATGAATTTTTATAGACCTTCAAATTTGTCTTTTGAAAGGATTTTAGAGGTCTTCAAATGAGGATTTCTCACAAAAATGCTGGAGGTCTTCAAATAGGAATTTTTGAAGGATTTCTTGAAGTGGACTTTTCCAAGGATTTTTAGAGACCATCAAGTGTAGAATTTTTTGTCGAATTTTTAGAGGTATTCTAAAGTCTTTCCGAAGAAGTTTTTTTAAAGGGATTTATAGGGACCCATTAAAGACCCTCAAGAATGTATTTCTGAAAGAGTTTTCAGAGTTTCCACATGTATAGATTTTTTTGAGGCTTCTAAGGGTCTCCAAAATGGAATTTTTCCTATTCATTTTTAGAGATCTTCAAATGTGGATTTTTAAAGGATTTTTAGAGGTCTTCAATAGTGGATTTCTTATAAAAATGTTGGAGGTCTTCAAATGCAATTTTTTTTAAAAATTTATAGAAACCATCAATTGTAGATTTTTATCGAATTTTTAGAGGCATTCTAAAAATATGATTTTTTTAAGAAATTTTTAGGGACCCATTAAAGACTCTCAGACATGTGTTTCAACGTGTCGATATTCTATCGTATTTTTTGAAGCTTCTTTAAGGGTCTTAAAAATGATTTTTTTCTATAATTTTTCAGAGATCTTCAAATGTGGATTTGTAATGGATTTTTAGAGGTCTTCAAATGTGGATTTCTTATAAAAATTTTTTGAGATCACCAAAGGTGAATTTTTAGAGAACTTCTTGAAGTTTCCTCAAGCCATTCCAAGAAAGAGTTTTCATAGAATTTTTTGAAATTGAACAGTGTTGGCTTGTTTGTTCGGGATGCCATAGTATTTTTTGTTGCAAAAATCCCTTTTTATTGTCGTTTTTATAATTTTTGAAATTTATAAATTATGGGCCCCAAAAATTTTCCATTTTTTAGGAACATTTGGAGACAACCGTCCCTAGAACTGTGGTATTTTAACAATTAAATGAAATTTGGATTTTTTAAGAAATTTTCAGGAGATCGCCCCCAAGGCCGTTAAACCTGAATTTTTAACGATCTTAAATTAAATTTTGATATTTTGAGGAATTTTTTAGAAAGACTTTTTAAATGTTTTTAAAGAATTTTTAGAGGATAGAGGAAGCCAAGAAAACAAGAATTTTTAAAATATTTTTTTTTTTTAATTTAAAAACTGTTTTTTTCTAAGGAATTGTCTGAGGCTTCAAATGTGGATTAAAAAAGGCTTGTTACTAGTTTTACTGTCTGAGTTAGAATTTCCTGATTGAGCCTGAAAGTATGCACCACTCACGAAAAACCCTTAAAATCTTTCAAAATGTATTCCGATTACATAAATCTTATCCAAATTATTAAATTTAAATGATCTAAATATTTAATCAGGCCAATAACGAGTGTTTTTCAAAATTTCGCCTAAAAGTAGGCAACACAGTTTGGAAATATTTTTTTTAAATATCAACCTCCCTTCACAGTCTTTTGTAAATGAAAAAACTTTTTACTGGGGCATATCACTGTATTATTATGTCTCCAGATTCCTGTCAGAGCCTTTATTTTATAGGACAGCCTGAAAGTAGGCACCATATATTAAAAATATAATTTCCGAAATTATTTTTAATATTTTTTTTTTTTTTTTTTGAAAATTAGAGAAATTTTGAACTGCTGTTTCAAATACAATTTCCTGAAGTAAAAACTGTGCATAGGGTTCGGATTGAACAATTTACATTAAAGTTCGCCTAAAATTATGCACCATTAATGTCAGCATTTTTTCTATATTTATAAACTGACGATTTTGGTTTTTAATTTACCCCAAATTTTTTTTTTATCCTTGAATATATTTTTCTCAAATTCGCATTTTTCTCTAATTTCTCTTCTCCTCTCTTCTCCCCTCTCTCTCCCTTACAGTTATTTCACCACAATGTGTTACTGACATGGCGGAAGGTTGTGAAGACACTGACAACAATAGTGGTAATCGTAACGCCGATAACGCTCCTACCATGTTGGGCACCGTTCTGCCCTGTGAAGCTGCTATAACCGCCTCCTTGGGTGTATCCGGTGGTGGCGTAATGAAAAGAGAATTTGTCGATGCCACCAGCGTTCTAGGCGCCCATCTCACAGCCAGTGTTAGTTTGGCCAGTCCCACGGCGCCCATGATGTCGCCCAGCACAATGTCGAATAATAATAACAGCAACAACAACAACAGTAATGGACTACTGAATCCCATGTCAGCAACAGTAACTTCATCAACAATAACAACATCATCCGCAACAACAACAATACCACCACCCGCCGCAGCAGCAGCTAAAACCAATGCTTCAACAAATAACGGTTTAACACCCTTAGTTTGTAGCACAACTTTATCTTCCTCCTCCTCGTCATCATCATCATCGTCCTCTTCCTCTTCGTCGAATTCATCGCTCTCATCGGCCTCCTCCTCATCTTTGAACTCCACAACAACGGCATCCTCATCGACAACAGCGGCCATTGCAAATACTTCGAACACCAATAAATCACCCTCCTCGTCGCCCTACTCAAGTGCCGCTGTGGCATCGTTGAGTGGTATTTCACCACAGTCGCCAGGACGTGGCGGCGGTACACCGGGTCCAAACAGTAATGCCAGTTGTGGTTTTGCAGCACCCACTTCGACGACGCCGACCACAATGGCCCCTGTGCCGGTGGTGGGATCCTCCAGCAGCACACCACCACCAGCGCCACTGCACTTGGCATTGAATATCAAAACAGAAGCGGTAAGTAAGCACTTTTTCCCCCAACATGTAAGGGGGTTTGTAAGGGGTTACTTTATGTATTTAAAAATTCTAAAAAATATAATCTCAAGAGCTTTACTGATTTACAAAATCAAAATCCATAGTTTGTGAGCATATAAATGTAATAAGGCTAAACTCATTACAGGGTAAGGCATTTTTCAGCATGAAAGTAATTGAATTTCAAGGCCTTAGCCAGAATTTGCCATAAAATAAATTTTAAAATGGGAATTAAATCCGTTTCTGATTTAAAATAAATTACAAAAATTAATTTTTTTATTAAACCTTACCAGATATGGTATTTTTCACCAGTGGGTAATGAGATATTTTGTCAAAAAATTGATGACATCCCATTTAAGTTTTAAACAGGTCTATTATGAATCGATTTTTGTTCATTAAGGTATATTAGTTGGTAGAATTTAAGAGAGAACAAAAGGCGAGGTTATGACACATTATCCGGTAAGGTATTTTGCAGCAGAATGTAATGTGAGTTCCTGAAACTTATTCAGGATAAATATTTCTTCTGTTATAAAAATTTAAGCCCTTTTGATTGTTTTTCGTGCTACGTGAGAAGCTATAGCTGCCATATTTGCAAATAAACATTATTTGGTAAGGGTTTTGTCCACCAAATGGTAATGAAAAATTCCCAAAGTAGTCTAATTGAGACCTCTTTTATTTGAGGGACCTATTTGGTTTATCAGGTATGGATTTCTGTGATTTTTTAGAATTTTTAAGGTAAAATATGAGAATAGCTGACATTACAGGGTAAGGTGTTATACATCATTTGGTTAATGAGTCTTTCAAAAGCCAGGCAGATCAAAACATACTTTTTACGAGGGATGTAACGAATAGATTTTATAATTTTTTACAATTTTTATGGAAAAATTCTACTACCCAATACGGGAGGAGCGAAAAACACATTACCCGGTAGGGTATTTTGTAGAAGAATGTAATGTGAGTATCTCAATCTTATTCCGCATAAGAAGTACCATTAGAAAATTTTCTGCTACAAAAATTGGGCAATTTTGATGGCTTCTCACGATAAATGAACATATTTACCAATAAGCATTATTTCGTAAGGTTTTTGTCCACCAAAGGATAATGAGAGATTCTGAAAGTAGTCTGATTAAGACCTCTATTATTTGAGGGACTTATTTGGTTTATCTGGTATGGATTTCTCTGATTTTCGAGAAATTTCGAGGTTAAATTTGAGAAGAGTATACATTACAGGGTAAGATATTACACACCTTTTGCGTAATAGGTCCTTCATAGGCCAGGCAGATCAAAACCTACTTTTTCTTACGATATAAATGATTTACCATGTCCTGATTTTTTAATTTTCTACAATTTTTGTGGCAAGATTTTACTACCCAATACGGGATGAGTGAAAAACACATTATCAGGTAAGTTATTTTGCAGTGGAATGTAATGTGAGTTCCAGAAACTTATTCAGGGTAAGAAGCACTCTAAGAATTTTGTCTGTTAGAAAAATGAGACCATTTTGATGGTTTCTTTCGATATATGAACATATTTGGAAATAAGCATTATTTAGTAAGGCATTTGTCCACCAAAGGGTAATGACAGATTCTCAAAGTTGTCTGATAAAGATCTCTATTATTTAGTCCATCAAATTGATCAAAAATCAAATCAAATATTTGATTATCAGGTATGCATTTCTCTAATTTTCAAGAAATTTCGAGGTCAAATTTGAGAAGAGTAAACATTACATGGTAAGGACTTACATATCATTTGGATAATAAGTATTTCAAAAGCCAGGCCTTCTTCATTCGGGGATGTAACTGGTTAAATATGTCCAGATTTTTTAATTTTCTACAATTTTTGTGGTAAGATTTTATTACGCAATACTGGATGAACGAAGAACTCATTATCCGGTAAGATATTTTTCAGCTGCATGTAATGTGTCTTCAAGAAACTTAGTTAAAATAAGAAGTCTCCTCAGAAGCTCTTCATTTGCTTAACTGATTCCCTCTTCTGGCTCCAAACGATGTATAAAAGCCTGTCCGTGACATATTGATGAACAGGCATTACTTTATAACGTTTTATTCACCAATGGGGTAATGAGAGGTTCTGCATCCTCTCAGATTTTAATTCACTTTATTTGTGGGAATAATCCGGCTTATCATATACCGATTTTTAGGATTGTGGCAAATATTTGTGGTTATATTTTGCCATTATCTTGTAAGGTCCAATTATTATACACACATTACCCAGTAAGCAGGTTTTTGTTATATAACAAAAATTCCACAGAAATTCGTTGCAATAATTCCCATTATATTCTGTTGAGATATAAGAAATGTAGGATAATAATTGAAAGCATTACTTTGTAATGTATTTTTTACTCTTGGGTAATGAGTGATTCTGAAATTTGTTCCAGAATACTTCTGATGTATCAGATACCATTTGAGAGGTCTTGGAAATAAAATGTAGGCAATTGGTGGTATTTAGTCATTCCTCTTAATTTTTTGGAGTGAAAAAACATTTACTTGACATGAATGCTGCATACTTTTGGGCAAAAACTCGCAGCTGCTAATGCGTCATTAAATTCAAATTTATTTAAATACAAACCTTCGAATTTGAGCCTTTCAATGCGTAATGACCCACATCTGAAGTGGTTTAGATCTGCTTAGAATATTTTCAAAAAAAAAAAAAAAAAAAAATGAACTCTAATGCCATGTGTTCCTCTGGAATTTATTTACCAATTATTTTAATTTTTTTTGCTGCTGCTGCTGTCTTAGCTTTTTCTTAACATTTTACCGCTTGCCATTGTCAAAGAGCCGTGTTTTTTTTTTTTAATGCTGAAAATTTATGAGTGTGTCACACAAACAAGCAATGCAACTCATGTTTGGGTTACACCAAAAAAAAAAAAAAAAACAAAAAATTGAAATATTTAGGTTACCATATTTATTTAGTTTTGAATGGAGTTTTTTTTTCTGTTTTTGATTTTTTTAGGTTTTCTGCCTTAAGAGCTCATGGCCCAAAGTCAAAGTGGCTGACTACACACACACAACAAACCAAGTCAAACTGCCAATTGTTCAAAATGATATATTTTTATGAACAACTAATTTCAAAAAAAAAAAAAAAAAACGGCGAACAAAAAAAATATGTGTGAATATTGACATAAAGAAATTAATATAAAAAAGTCATAGCTGTTTAGAAAAAATATTTTTGGCTACTGCATTCAGGTTTTTAGGTCTCCATTATTATTTGCTTAATTGTGTGTGGAGAGATGCCTTAAGCCAGTTCACAATCATGATCCAAAAAAGGGGCGTGTTTTTTAAGCCAGCTATTTTATTGAAATGACGAGCTTTCAATAAAGTTTTGAAAGGGGAGGGGGGAGAATTTGCCATGTACGATAGCAATATTGCTCTGAATTTCTGGGGAGAAATATATTTTTATTTTAATTGGTTAATGAATTTCAAGATTTATTGAATTACAGTAGAACTTTTTTCAAAAATTGGAAGAAATTGTAAGGCCAATTCCAGATGCAAGACATAATTTTTTTTTAACATAAAAAAATATATTCTCAACACTTCTTTCCCAATGAAACACTTCTTTCAGCCCTACTTCACATAAAAAGGACACTCTTTCCTCATCATAAAAACACATCTTGTTTGACCAGCCGTCCGTCATTCAAAAATCCCTCTCTCACGACGTAATGATGTTACCTCTCCAATAAAGTCTGTTTGTACATTTCTTGTTAGAAAAACTCAATTTTTAGGGACTTTTTCATATGGAATGAGAACCAACAAACTTTCCTGGGAACAAGCTGCCTTTTTTCCATTAGAAAAGGCAATTTCTCGAAATTTTCTCCAATGAAAAGAGAAGCCTCTCAGCATTATTTCAATGTCAAACTCCACCCCTCAGAAAATGATTTTTGGAAAAAACAATCTCTGATTGATTTTTAATGCGCAAAATAATTCTCTCATCGCTTTCTCATTTGACAAATACAATCTCTCATTAAAAAAACACACTTCTCAGTACTTTCATAGGAAAAAGGCAACCTCTCTTTCCACGGAATTAGCTACCTCTCAGCCCTTTGTCAATGGAAGTAGGTATCTGATTATATTTATCTCTGATTTTTGCATATCACAATAGACTCGCAAAAAGCGAATTCTTTCGCTGAGTTTCATCAGAACGGAGACGCCACTCAGCACTTTCTCAGCAGGGACAAAAGCCACTCAATTAGTAGCCTCTCAGCATTTTCTCAAATAAGAAAAGATGACTCTCGCGACTTTTGATACGCTCAGCCTTTTGGCTAGATAGGGTATATACCATTTGATACGGCCAAAACGTGTATCATCGAATAAACGATTTTAAGACCCAGGGTCTTTGGACCAAACCCGTTTCAGGACATTTGGAATTGATCAAGCGTTCGCCTGTCTGACTGCTGTATACGATAGCTCCCGAAGGGAGTATCCAAACTTGGTACATTGCAATATTATTATCAAGCTTAGATCGAGTTCGGAAATTGGCAATATCGGCTCACTTCTTCTGGTGCTTCCACCTCAAAAACTGGAATTTTTTAAATAAAATTGTTTACTGCGCAAAAAGATAAAGACTAATTCGATTTTGCTCCAACTTTACAAATCCTATTATATGCATCAGTGGTTGTTTGGGTGCGGAAATTGACAATATCGGTCCACTCCATCAAGTATCTCCCCCACAAAGGGTCGAAATTTTAAATAATTACAACTCTTATAAAATGTGATGTAAGAGCCCGATTGCCTTCAAATTACACACACCACAATATTTTTTTTAACCCAAGGTCTGATGTGAAGATGGAATGGACCGATACCACTCCTTCTGGCCTCTCCCCCATAAAGGATCACAATTTTGAATATCCATGAAGCTTATAAAACGCGAAATTAAACTACGATTAAATTTAGACTTGACATATCTCAATATTTCTATCAACATAAAATCTGTTATAAAGATGGTAGAGGTAGGACCATTCCTTCTGGAAC